TTATCTACACTACATTAAAAGAAAGGTAATTTCCACATCATTTTTAGACAAAAAAAATCTATTATTACAAAATAATTATAATACTGTAATTACAGTATTATATTTACTATCACATTTAAAGTGAAAAAAAAAATGTGCTTTTCTGATGCCCTAATACAGCAAAAATCACAAACTCAACTGATATGAAGCTTGGGCAGGAAACTTAAATGAACAAAGAAGGACCAGGGATAGGAAAACTGTGGGGATTGGGAGGACCTCAAAGTCAGGTGCCATCCACAGGTCCCTGTCCAGAGCGCAGGGCAAGGCTCTTCAAGACCTCACAGCAAACGTAGTTCTCCTCCTGCCCCAGCACTGGGTAAGGCCCTTTCTAAGGACGGTGTCAAACTATTTTCCAATTTCCTGAGGGGGACTATTACTATTCTCATTGAAGCCAGATTTAAAGATGAGTAGTTAGTGTAGTTGGGTAAATCCGGTCTAAAATCGAATAAAATAAAGAAAATGGAGGCCATTATTGAGAATGGAGTCCAGGAAACTAGAGCAACACCAGGGGAAATTGAAATGTTAATGTGCCCAAGGCCCGGAACCCATTCTAAGGATGTTAATGAAGCAGCTCTCAGCAAACAGGGAGGTGCTAATCAAAAGCAGCCCCAGGCCCTTCCTGCCCAGATTACTCCTGCAGCCCACCTATCTCCCTAGGGCCTTCCCACCTGCATTCTATCACTGCAGATAAAGGGAAACAAAAGACACGAGTGTGGGAAAGCTGAAAGAAGACCTTAGCTATAAAAAAAAAGGGAAGACCGCCCTCTTCCACAGATTCCACCTTTTGGGTCCTCTTCTTCCTCAGGGGAGAAGTCTTTTCTGCTGTCCTTTAATAAAGCCTTCCCCTTTCCACTTTAAACTTGCCTCCCCAGTGCTTCTCTGGTGTTATACCTCAGCATTCGGGGAAGCAAGGACTGTAACCGGTACAAACAGCGGTAACATCATTTTACAGATGAAAAGACTGCAATTCAGGTTAAGTGGCTACTCCCCAGAACCGCACAGTAGGACTCCTAGGACTTGTTTGAGCACCTGCTCTCTTAAACTCTCACCACCTACACTTGAGCAGAAGCACTCCCACCCAACTGCTTTGGGACCACCCCAAAATCCTCTAACTGGTGGGGCTGTAACTCCACCCTACAAACAGATAAACAGAAGAATGCACACACATCCAAGTTGACTTCCGTACTTGTAAGAGGTTAGTTAAGTTGGAATGCAGCTAACACGTAGGACTTATTAAACTGTTCCTTTGAGATATAATTTGCATATGTGAGATTGGCCCGTATTAAGTGCCCAATGGCACGAGTTGTACTTATTCAGCTGATCTTCCCTGCCCCAAAAGTCCCATCCGCTCCTGCGCAGTCAGTCCCATCTCGCACTTCCAGCCTCAGGTGCCCACTGACCTGTTTAGATCTCTGAAGTTTTGCCTGTTCTGGGCATTTCACAGAAATGGAATCAATAACGTGCGACTTTGCGCCGGGACTTTCCACTTGG